GAGACCTCAGCCATGCCCCCTGACACCTGCAACCAGTTCCGAGGGTGGGGACCTCAGGCCTCAGCCACACACCCCCAACAAGTGCAACCACCCCAGCAATGACCACCGAGCCACCACAGGAAGTGCCCTGGGCTCTCTCCCAAGCCAGGGCAGTGGGAAGCCTCAGGCCTTGGTTACGCCCCCCCAACAGGAGCAACCAACCCAGCAATGACCACCAAGCCACTGCAGGAAGTGCCCCAGGCTCTCCTGAGCCAGGATGGTGGGAGGCCTCGGGCCTTGGCCACACCCCCCACACACACCTGCAGCCAGCCCACCGACAACCACTAAGCTGCAGCAAGAAGGGCCCTGGGTTCCCAAGCTGCGGTGGTAGGGTCAAGGGCTTTTTCTACATCCTCCTGTCATCTGCACCTAGACTGACAATGACCAAGCCACCACTGGAAGACTCCCAGTCTCCGCTGTGGGAATGTAGGGGTGCCACAGAACTCAATCCCGCCCCTCCTCTTTTCCTTCCCCTTTTCCCTCTCACCCTCCCTCCCAACTACTCTCAACATCATAGAATGTAAAAAAATAATATTAATAAAATAAAAAATTTTTTTAATTTTTAAAAAAAGTATAAGGCCAAAGCAGGGCTTGAGTGGTTCAGGGCTCATGACTTTTCCATTTGGAGTTTATCCTGGTGTATGACTATGAATCTATCAGTACTCTTTTTCCAGATGGCTTCCCAGGTCTCCCAACATGTTTACTGAAAAAAGACAGTACTGATTAATCTGTATCTATATAGAAAAATAGTCAAATATATTTGCTTAATAGAGTTGAAAAGGGTCTAAACACACGCACACAGATGTGGAAATTTAGTAACAGATAAAGACGACATTTTAAATCATTGCTGAATGAATGGATTGTTCAACTTTATTGAGGAATAACTGAAGCATATTGTTTTAGTCTGTTTTCTGTTGCTTATTACAGAATACCTGAAAATGGGTAATGTATAAAGAAATGAATTTATTTCTTACAGTTTTGGAGGCTGGGAAGTTCAAGGTTCAGGAGGTGCATGTGGTGACGGCCTTCTTCCTGGTAGGAACTCTTAAAGGGTCCTGAGATGGTGTAGGGTATCACATAGTGAGAGCTGAGCAACAGCATTTTTTCACATGCTCTCTTCCTATCCTTATAAAGCCCCCAGTCTCCTCCCTCATAATCCATTAAACCATTAGCCCATTAATCCATGAATGGATAAATCCATTCAAGAGGGCATAGTCCTCATGATCTAATCACTTCTTAAAGGCCTCACTTTTCAAATACCATGGTTGGATTTCCTATCCTCTTAACAATGCCACACTGGGGATCAAGTTTCCATGAGCTTTAGATGGGACAAACAACCAAATCATAGTATATATTAAACTGCACATATGTAGGGCCAAGCCCGTGGCGCACTCGGGAGAGTGCGGCGCTGGGAGCGCAGTAGCACTCCCGCCGCGGGTTTGGATCCTATATAGGGATGACCAGTTCGCTCACAGCGCTCACTAGCTGAGCGCAGTGCGGCCGGTCTCAAAAAGGACAAAAAAAAAAACAAAAACTGCACGTATGTAAAAGGTATAGTTTGATACATTTTGACATATGTATATATTCACAAAAGCATTACTAAAATCAAGATAATAAATATATATATATATATATATCAATTCCAAAAGTTTTTTCATGGTCCTTTGTAATCCCTTCTTCATGACCTTTCCCATCCCACTAATCAATGATCTGCTTTCTGTCACTACAGATTAGTGACCATTTTATAGAATTTTATATAAATGGACTCGTACAGATTGGACTTTGGCTTCTTTCATTCAGCGTTTTTTGAGATTTACTCATGTTGCACATTATCAATAGTTCATTTTTTTCTATTGCTGAGTAGTATTCCAGCCCATGAATATATCACAATTTGCTTTACTATTCCATGTTGTTCCAATGTCCATGTTGATGGACAATGGGTTGCTTCCATGTTTTGGTTATTCCGAGTAAAGCTGTTATAAACATGTACAAGTCTGTGTATTGAATAAAGCATGGCAACATTAATACCAATGTAGAATTCAAAGCAAAATGCTTTATCCAGGACAAGAGAGAGCTTTATATTGATGTCTACCAAAAAGATATAGGTCAAAAGCTTTTATTTAAGCCTTTACAGCAACTTTCTACTGATGTCAAGGATCTACTCTGAACAAAACACCAGAACCAGATGATTTTACAGACAAGTTCTGCCAAACTTTGAGGAATAAATAATTCTCATAGTTTTTGAACAGCTCCAAACCATAGAAAGAAAAATAGTAAGTTTCCACATTAATTTTATAACATTAGCATGACCCTGATCCAAAAACTTAACAAAGTAGAAACCTTCTCATCAATGATGAGAGATTAACTAGAGAAATTATTATTTATCTAAACAACAGAATTTCATGCAACCATTACAAACCATGTTACAGGTGAATACTTAATTGGCTCTGTGATTAATTACTGAAGAATACTTAATACATTCGAGATCTGTTTTTCAAAAAAAGCAATTTATAAAATATATATAGTTTGACCTCAAATATATAGACCACATACCTACTCACATTACATCCATGTATAAGTATATGGTGAAGAGAAAAACAAAAGAAAAGTCACCAAAATGTTAATTGATTATCTCTGGGAGATCATAGTTTTTTCTTTTTTGTTATTTCTTTATTTTCCATGTTTTCCATTATAAACATGGATTTTCCTTTCACTTATGAAAAAAATTACTTAAAATTTTTATAATTCCATTTTTTAAAAAAGAACTGCCTCTCCCTCAATCAGATTCAAACCCTAAAGTATGACATACTAATCTTGCCTGACTGACATTATCCGTTTGTTTCTCCAAAGTTGTCCCTCCTCCACCCCCTACCACACAATGATCAAGCGCTGTATTGTACTTCTGTGCATCCCATAGTCCCCTGAGAATGCAACTACTGTTGCTATACCATCTCTCACTGGTCCAGGGGTAATTCTCATGATCAGCTGATGCCAATAAACTTTTACCTTCTCTGCCCACCTTCCTTAAATTCCTCATAAACTTGTTAGATATCAAAGCAGTACCTCAGAAAATACTCCCATACAATTCAGAAGACTTAAGGAATTAATACTTAGTGTTTTAAGGCATGGCAATAAATTTGCTCCCAATAATACTACTGTATCCATACCATGGAATATTATATGGCGATAAAAAGAATGAAATACTGATATGTGCTACATCATATAACCTTAAAAACATTATGCTAAGTGAATGAAGCCAGTCACAAAAGACCACATATTGATGATTCCATTTATATGAAATGTCCAGAATAAGCAAATTTACAGACAGAAAGATTAGTTTTTGCTTAGTGCTAGGGGGCAGATAGGAGGAGAATGAGGATTAACTTCTAATGGGTACAGGGTTCTTTTAGGGGACACAAACATTCCAAAATTGGAATGTGGTGATAGCTGCACAACTTTATAAATATAAAAAAATTGAGTTGTATACTTTAAATGGGTAATTGAATGGTATATGAATTATATACCAAAAAAGCTATTTTTTAAAATGCTACTGTAACTTGTTATTACAGCTACCATTGATTGAACAGCTACTATGTGCAAGAAACCTTAGAGACCGTATATTATTAGATTCTTACCAAAGTCAATTTTTAATCTTATAGATGAGAAAACAAGCTCAATGAATCTAAAATATTTACACAAAGTTACAAAGTTAGTCAGGAATAATGCCATGCCCATATATATATAGATACCACTTGAAAGAAATGCCTCTCTAAAGCCCATGTTTTCTTAACTATGCCATTTTTGCAATCAAGTAGTTTACTGGAAATAATTATAATAAAAGTATCATTGAATATATAAATGGCCTTGGAAAAGCAGGTATTTTGTTTCTGTTAATGGTAAAATGAGTTTTTTGAGGCATCACTGATAGCAAAGAAGGTTTAAAAGGTTGAGTGCCTTTAAGTTATTTAATTCAAAATCTACATCTATAAAACAAATTCCTCTGGAAAATAATTAAAAGTAATCAAGGTCATATAATGTGTCCCTTCTCTTTGTTTATATCAGAGCTAGATTGTGAATATCTTCAAGACACAAACATCCCCTGATGTGTCAATTTGTCATTTTTTAAGTCAATGCCTCTAGAAATTCCTCATTCTTTATTTATATTAGATGAAATGTCAACAAAATATAAATATACAGAAATGATCACCATTTCTTTAAATTACATTCATTAGGCAAAAATATTCCTTTATTTAGATTTTATTATTTACATTTAGCTTTTTATCCACACATGTAGAGGACTTTATAAACACTAACTTATCAGCAATTCTAGAAAGGTAAGTAGGTTTTTAAAAATGTAATTACCCTTACAGGAGGAAGAAATACAGACATGATACTAAAAGAACCATATTTTGTGACTTCTTCACCTATAATGCAGTAATCATCTACTTAGTTGCTATATTGTTTGCTGCTGTAACAAATTATCACAAACTCAATTGTTTAAAACAACAAATTAATTATCTTATGGTTCTATAGGTCAGAAATTTAACACTATTCTCACTGAGCTAATATCAAGGTGCTAGCAGGGCTGCATTCCTTTCTGGGGTCTCTAGGTGAAAATCTGTCTCCTTGCCTTTTCCATTTTCTTGGCTTATGGCCCCTTCCTCCTTCAAAGCAAGTAGAAGTGTTCAAATCTTTCTTATGTTGCCTCCCTCTTCCACTTTTAAGGATCCCTATGATTATACTGGGCCCATCCAAATAACCGAGGATAATCTCCCCATCTCAAGGCCCTTAATCACATTTTCACTTAATCACTTCTACAGAGTCCTTCTGCAATGTAACAACATATTCACAGCTTCTGGGAATTAAGACACTGACACCTTTAAGTAACCATTATTCTTCCTCCCACGGTTGACCTTGTCTTCAAAGAAATCAGGATATACCCACAGTAAATCCTGGGGCACAAGTGCACTAATGGTTTAAATAGAAAATGTGGAACTTGGAATGAAAAATCCCTCCTTTCTGTTCTGTCACATTTTTACTGGTATTCTACTTTGAAGGTGAACCACAACTAGACACATGGGAATAACAGGAGAAATAGGTTGCCATTTAAAAACATGAGAGGAAATAGAACTATCTAAATAAATCTGTTGATTTTTTAATCTGAACAGAAGCCCCAAAAGCTTATTTTGTACTTTCTACCTACTGCTCTGCTGTGGCACTCAGGAACTACTATTTGTATAGCAGCCACAGCCTTATATCATAAAATAAGATGTTGCATTAATTCAAACTAGAGAAGAGGTTGATAGAAGCACTATACTTGAGCATACCAACCATGAGTTTTCATGAACCTACAAAACAAAACATTCAAAGGACCATTATATATCTATCTGTGGGTCCTCTTCTTTCTGAAAAGCCCAAATTCAAAATGAAATGATAGTGCTACATTATAAGACTGATTTCTTAATTCCCCAAACACTATTCTATCCATTTAACTTTTTCAATTTAGCTTTATATCTTTTTTGACTCCAAGACAGAAGAGTGATATTTGACATACTCAAGTTATAGCCAGCATTTACCAATTCTTTGATTCGACTTTTTAAAGTACTTATGCTTGAGTCCAGAACCCGAGGATTTTCAATTATTTGTGAGATGCTAACTTTTTCTTCTATGAGGCAGTCTATTTTATCATTAAACTTTTTCTCTGCTAAGAACATCACATCTGGATAGCTTAAGACAAACTTCTGTATCTCTTTTTCAGTACATCCATGAGAAAAAAACTTCTTTTTGATATTTGCATAGTTTCTTTTGGCATAGTCATTGGAAAGGTCTAGGATTTCAGCTCCCGGACCACATATCAGAACTAGCAGTTCCCCACTGTTCAAGTTGAAAGTTGACTGTAAAAATTCAATGTTAGCTTTCACCCGTTTGGTGCTCTGAATTAAGATAAAAGGGTTTTTAAAAATTATCTTCCTGACAAAATCTGCAGAATCATTGTGACCCAAGGACAAACAAATATTCTGCAAAAGTTCAACCATCTGTTTGTTCAGATCAACACTATTGGAGAAGGTACGAGGGGCATTGGTCAACAATCGACAAAGGCATTTACGGGTCAATCCAACTGAGTAGAGGAACTTTATATTATTCTCTAAGTTTAGGTTGTTACTGGACCGAAAAAAGGGTTCGGGAGAACGTTCCAAAATATTTATAATTTCAAGGTCTGAGGTCATAATCCTTCTCCACAGCTCCCACCGTTGTGAAAGACTTTCAGGAGTACGTGTGATAGCTCGTGGATATCTTGATATGATGCTAGCAATCACTTCTTTGCTAGCTCCTTTGGATAGAAGGAAAATCTTCAGGTCCTGTTCATTAGTAATCGTCCTATTAAAAACTCCAGGCTGTCGTTTCTTTGCCATGTCAATATCTACTCCCATAGAAAGTAAGTTGTTCAGTAGGTCCTCATTCTTCAAGGGCTCATTGCCTGCATTATCACACTTCACACAAAAAAGCCTAAATGAAACTGATTTGAAGAGGACTTCTGCTGAAAATCGGATCATCCAACATCTTGAACCAAAGAGAAAGTTATTCCTCATGTACCAGAGGTTTCTTGGTGCCATAATTGTCAGGTAACTCAAATCTTCTGAGATGCTGTGTAAAACAACACATATAATATTATATAAACACGTGGGTTAAACAGCTAATTGACCATATTATGATCCTATAAACATCACGGTCACTTCCGTAAAATAATACCTATAGCTCCAGCTTTCCTACTGCTGTGAAACAATTCGCCACCACACTCTCTCTCTCACTTGATCAACAGCTTCTCTTGATTACCTGTGACCTCAGGGCTGCTTCCATTTTTAACACACAGAAAAACTATATGGCATAATCACTGCCCCAGAATTATCCCTGCTTTTATCTTGTTCTTTCCAGTTTCACAGATCATTGACCTTGCTCTGTCCACAGAGTCCAGACTTGCCTCTGGCCTCCTGGTTTTCAAACTCTAAATCTAGCCCTAAAAGCCAACACCATAAACTATCTAATTCTTTTTGTAGATTCATGGTACTTTTTAAATCCATGCCATAATTAGAGCCTTAATGCTTAGGTTATATAGACTTCTGGTCAACCACCTGATTCCCAATCTCCACCTCACTCAGTTTACCCTATTGTCCTCTTGATTGTAACCCAACAATTCCAAATCAATTTTCATCTTCAAAATGATCTAGTTGGGATATTTAATCCACATAGTCCACCACATGTGGAACTGTGCTGAGAGATGGCATATAAATGTTAAAATGTTACTTTTACCATTCTCCTCTACCCCATCACCATATTACACAAGACCAATCCAGGGCTTCTAGCAAGTAGCTAAAACCTCAATAACCCATTTTCCTGATCATTTAGATATGGGGCACAAAAGGTACGAACTTACACATAATTATAATCATAGGTCCCTACTAAAATGAGTATCTCCACTTACAGGAAATATTTTGTGAGGAAAGAAGAAAAAGTGGTCTTCTATTATTCAACCTATTGGACAATTTTTTCCTGAGCTACTTGTGATCTGAGTCATAGCACATAACATTTTTTTTAAACTGTACCTTCTCCTTTTCAGAATATATAGCTGTGACAAACTTAACTCTTGATTTCTAATTACTTACAATATACTATTACTTAGAGGAGGCATTTCTCTCTTCCCCCCTCTCCTAACTAAGCATAAAACAGAAAATAGAGATAGATGGTTCCAACCCACCATTAACATTTTGGGGCTTAAGATACTGCTTTCAACATCAATTTCAAAGAAAACTTCTTTGTGTCTGTCCTTTCAATTACTCCAATTTTAACAGGAACTTGGATTATGCCTACAGGATGGGAACATTCCTGTGGCTCACATAATCTACAGATTGTAAAAGAACTGGGAAAAGATTCCAAAACTATACAATCAAGTGACATTCAAACCTAAATGCAGGGGTACTCACAAAGTAAACATCAAACAACAACAAAAGCACATTTTAGATCGATGCATACTCTACTGAGCTCACTATTCTTCACTTCTCTATAACACCACATACTACTCTGTAACTACATACTCTTCCAAAAAATGCATGAACTTAGAAACTTAAAAATAAGATCCTCCGAACTAAAGAACGAAGGCTCTATCTTGCACAGCTCAACAGCCTGTTCACTCTTCCAGATGCTTAAGGGTGACCTCTACTGGATAATGAGACAGAACGCTGTCAGCCGGAGATCAGACCAGTGCTTTCTAAAGAGAGGTGTGAGATGTTCCAATGGGATGCGGGAAGAAAAAAGTAAAACTCGAATTTATATTTGTCTTAGCTTTTGAACATATCTATTTTTTACATGTTTTATAATCTACACCAAGTAATAGTACTATAAGACATATATATAACTAATCAATAAATAAATGTACATGTATTGGAGGTACATTTATAAACATTTTTTACTAATAATGTACACAATCAAAAATGTTTGAAGACTACTACTCTTAACAATGCACTCTCTTGAGATTATTAGCACCATAATAAACAGGGCTGAATAAGCCACAGAATATTCAGTAGAAATTCTTACAGTGACAAACTAAAAATAAGTGAAAATATATGCCAAAATGCTTAACAAGAGTAATAAATCTGTTTCTCCTAAATCTATTACAAGTAGATTTTGTCTTTGTGCATAACTCATTCTCCATAAAGATATCTTCCACACAAACTAGCATGCTCAAATAACTGAGCGTCTTTCCCAGCCTCCAAACTAGCCCTCCTATAATTTATGATTTTACTATCACTATCCTGAGACTCACTCCTGATAAAAACCTAAAAGTGAGCTTTGCTTTCTTCTTCTTCAATACCACAGTCAAATCACGTAGTTAGCTTCTCAGCATCTCTGAAATCCAATCTCTCTACTCTTTGTTATTCTCATTCTCTTAAGTCTTTATTCTGTCCTTCCCAGCACTCTAACATCAATCACTCAAATCTGCCACAATATCGATATCTGTAAAACAAAAATACGATTATGTCCTTCATTCTCTGAGCAAAGACCTTCTGTAGCTCTCTCACAGAAAGACAAATCTTCAGACTGACTTCAAAAAGCCCTTAACCACTTAGTTCTAACTACCTTTCCAGCTATTTCTTCTATTCTACAACCTCACTACCTGGCACCACTCAAACCTCTGATCCTGAACATCCTTGCCCATTTCTGTCTCCCTGCCTTTGCTTAAGCTGTTCTTTCATTCCAAAAGGCCCAACCTCCTGATATCAATCCACAGTACAAGGTCTCATTCAAATACAATCTTCTCTCAAATTTTTAACTTAATTTAAAATATTTACTGTTGAATTTATTACTAAGTATTCTACTTATATAGGGAAAAAAGAGCTGAAATGGACTTAAAACCAGCACCCGAAATTTGGTCTTGATTATGATACTAAAATGCAATAAATTTACCCCAAAAGTAGTCTCAGTTAAACCTAAAAACAGCGGTAGCTAATAACATTGATTGTTGGTAAACATATGAGGAAACAGGGGAAACTCTCAAATACTGTTATTGGAAGGGAATTGGGCACCATCTATCACAATTTTAAGTGTTCATATCCTTTAACCCAGCATTTCCACTTCTTGCAGATTACCCAAAGGAAATAAAAGGGCAAGAATAGGGGCCGGCCTGCAGCTCACTTGGGAGAGTGTGGTGCTGATAATACCAAGGCCAAGGGTTCAGATCCCCTCACTGGTCATCTTTAAATAAATAAATAAATAAATAAATAAATAAATAAATAATTAATTTAAAAGGCAAGAATACACATTTGTTATGAAAAAGGATGCCCCTCATAACATTATTAGCTATAGGAAAAAAGAAGAACCCCAAGAGCTGGATGGTTAGCTCAGCTGGTTAGAGTGTGGTGCTGATAACACCTCGTATAACTTCGTATAATGTATGCTATACGAAGTTATTACGCAATGATCTGCTTTCTGTCACTACAGATTAGTGACCATTTTATAGAATTTTATATAAATGGACTCGTACAGATTGGACTTTGGCTTCTTTCATTCAGCGTTTTTTGAGATTTACTCATGTTGCACATTATCAATAGTTCATTTTTTTCTATTGCTGAGTAGTATTCCAGCCCATGAATATATCACAACAGGGTTGGATTCCTGTACTGGCCAGAAAAAAAAAAAAAAAAAAAAAGGCCACCAATAGAACGATTAATAAATTGTGGTACATCTATGCAATGTAGTACTATACAGGTGCTAAAAGAAAATGAGGCAAATCTAATGCAACAGAAAGATGTCCAAGATATTCTAAGTGGCAAACTGCATAACGGTACAAATAGGATAATACCACTAATACTTAAAGGGAGGGGAACATTAATATATACAGAGAGGGAAGAAGTGGAATAATATAGTTATCCCTGAGAGACTAATGGGAACTATGTACTATTTCTGAAATATTGGGATTTTATTTAATGAATGTGTTATTTTGCAATTAGACAAAAAATGTTAAACAAATTAAATTGGCCTAGGTGGCCACCTAATTAACTAATTTTCCATTTTTAGCACAAAAAAAAGTCAAACTTCAAAAATATAAATGATGTTTCACTCTTAGCAGTCAATCTCCATTCAAAGTACTCCTATAACATCTAGCAAGGTAAGTAAATATTTAAATAGCCTAATGCAAGAAGTATCAACTTCCTCCATCTACAAATTTCCAAAATATTATTTCATAATTGATGTCAATATATCTTTCAAATTAACGTTCTTAATTAACTAAAACCATCAGTCCTTAACGTTCAAACTAACCACACTGAAAATTCTGTACTTAAAACTTGTGAGGTCAAAGGAATAAAAAAAAAAAAAAGAGGATTTACATTCCCCTCTAATCCACAACTGGCCTACTAAAGGGGCTTTAAAGGGGCTTTTAATGGAAATGGCTCCTCACTGGTCCTAGGGCACCATTCCAACTGGTCTTAAAGCAAGCTAAGTAAGTTTGTGGATCTTACGGCAATGTATTTCTCATCTTATTTGTCTTGAGGAAAAAGGACTTTGCCTCCCTCCAGAAAGGCTGGAAAACAGCTGTCTGTAGAAATGGCACCTTCCCTCCCCTGCTAAAAAAGGAAATATATTTCTCAGGACTTCATAATACAGAATAAAGGATCTATCCCAGCTAACACTGCATAATGATCCCGTGAGATACATTACGTCTTCCAAACTAAGCACCTCTCACACATACTGAGAAGAAAAAGGCAAGCACAAGCCTGAGTATGATGGGGGAAAGTAGTAGAATCACGAAAGTCTTGTAAAACCAGAGCTAAGTGCTTCATATACATTGTCTTACTTAACACCCCAAAACAACCTGAAAGGTCGGTGTACCCCTAAAATTATAAAATCTGAAACAGCGCTGAGCTCGTTTACTAGCTTAGCTTAGCTCCTGAAGCGTAAGGTTCGAACCCAGGCGGGTCTTTCTTAACTCAAAATCAAAGTAATTCCACACCGTAGGATCTTCCCATCCCTCCTCCTCCCCCAAGGGCAACTCTGCAAGGGGCTGCGCGGTACAGCACAGTCACCAGGACCCGCTCCTAACAACAAAAGCACAGAGGTAATAAGTGCCCAGCCTCACCCTAAACTGCAACCAACCGGCGTAGAGGCCTCTTATTTCCGCCTCTGGGATTTGGAGAGGTACCGAGGGACGGAAGTGAACAAGACGAACTTCCGCCCTGGGGCCGCGCGCAGTAGTGACGGTGCCGGCGCTGCGCCTCCCGGGGGCAGTGCTTCCGCCCTCCGTAGCCCGGCGCCCGGCGCCCTGCAGGGGGCGACAAGAGACCGCGGTGAGCGCGGGGACTCGAACGCCTGAGGCGGGTCCCGGAAGGCGGGGCGGGTCCCGGGGCTTTCCAGTCGCCGGGGCAGATGGCCAAGGGGAGCTGTAAGGGATGCACTGACTACGGGTGACGCGCGGTGGGAAAGTCGCTATTATTTACATAATCCTGCAGTCTGATAGGGCGATTAGCGTTATTAACGTGGTTAAAGCGATGCCGATGAACACCTCGGTATTTGGTACAGGAAACGCGTGCGTAAACAGTCCAGGTTCTCTTTCTTCCACGAACTACCTTGAAAATCCTGGAGTGTGACTGCTGGTCTGAATTCAGCATCAACCCTCAGGCTGGGAATCGATTCTAGTGTACTTCGATTTACCTGCTTGTAGCAGGAATTAATTCAGTTATGGTTCTTTTGAACTCTTGACGTGTTTAGGCTATTTAATTTGAAAATGGAGGTAACTGAAACTTAATCTCCACAGCGAATGCGTTTTCGCCACTTGGAGGCGTCGCCTTAAACCTCCCTCGTCCTACAGTCTTACCAGCCTGGTCGAGATAGGGCTTCAATTCAAGGCAATTTCTACTATGACCCCCCAAAGGAAGGTAATGTCTAGATAAATGAATTAATCATAAAGCTGTCAAGTTATCCTCAAGAGAAAGTCGTGGTTTGGTCCTTATAAAAACCGGAAAGTGGGGCGAAGGGATTAATCCTGAATTCTACAAGGAAGAATTTCCTGCATTACCTTCCTCTGTGTGGGAGCCTGAAGACAGAATTTTCTTCATCCCATTTTTGTATCGATGAACCGTTATGTTTCATCGTCATTCTTGCCGTTAGATTACTCCTAGCTGGTTTGTTGTCATTTTATTTTAAGTTAACTTTCTGTTTTGTTGGTTTATAAGGTTAAAGATTTATCTTTGGGAATTTAAATTACTAATTATCAGTCTATTCAGTAAGTGAAACTACTTACTGCAGTTCCAGGTAAAGAAAGAATCTTGAAAAATTTAAAATGGGTTCTTTGTGTGAATTTCTAATATATATTTCTGCATGGAAGGAGCTCATATGTCCCAGTTAATGTTTACAATATATGTAAATATATAAATTTATATACATAAATATGTAAATATATATATACACAAACTGCTTTATAATCAGACAGTAAACCAGTAAAAAAATTTTCAGGAATCATAAAATTTGAGACTTTAAGAAGACCTTTGAGAATATGGATCCCCAATCCTCTCATTTTACAGATGAGAACATTGAACCCCTTAGAGTAGGAGCCAAGAGAATGAATATCTTATATCTCCTTGACCAGTAAGTCTTCTATGATTTATGTCACATGCTTTGTTGTAGATGACATAGATTATCAAGGATTATTTCAGACTTACTTAGGCAACATCACCTAAGTTTATTTTTAGTGATATCTTTTAGGTAAAGGAGATTGGTTCTTTTGAAAATAAATTCTGTACTTCCCATCCAAAATTTTCTGTTTACAAATATATTTTAAATACATATTTAAATGCATACTGAAAGAATAACAATAAAAGTGTAATAATGGTTGGATTAGGATGGTGTATTATCAATCAGGTTTTTCTCATATTTCTGCAATGACTTTTAAATGTCATTACCTACAATAAGAGTAATAACTGCTATGTCGTTGTCACTTATGATGTGTTACAGTAGAACCTGTATATACCTTGCCTGTATTTTAGTAATTTATGAAATGAACATTTTTGAACACCTAGACATTCCAGGCCTTGTTCTCAGGTTCAAAGATATAGTGGTAAACTGTAGAGGGTTAACATCTTATGATATGTTCTGCTAAGAGGACGGCCATGACCTCTGGCCACAGCCAGAAGAGACACATGGCACCAGTACCCATGCGGGACGTGCTGCACATGGTTATTTCTCAATATGATAACACCAGCTGTTAGAAACTGCTGCATCCTTGAACTCAAGGGAGTATGCAGTATAGTCTGTTCACCAGCTGTGGGAGACTGGTGCATCCTTGAACTCAAGGGAGTATGCAGTATAATCTATTCAAATAAAATTTCAGGATGTTCTTTCCCATGGGGTCACCCTCCTTTATCCCTGTTCGCATACTTTTCTCACGACTTTCTTAATAAATATCCATTGGACTTTGACTCTAGGACTTCACTAGCTTAGTGAATGGTTGCTCCTAGTCCCTTGGTTGCAACTGTCTCCAAGTAGTTCATGACTGTTTCCACTTCAACATTCGCCGCAGTAAACAAGACAGAGCCCCTGCCCTCCTGGACCTCATTACCAGTGGTAGGTCTCATCTTAGCCCGAGTGCCGGGTCCTCTACATGGTTTCCCAATACCCCCTTCCCAAGACCGTAGCTGAACCAAGTCCGTACTAAACTCATGTAATTAAGAAAAAGAAAGTATAGTTGTAACATTGGAGGGTGGTGAGGGGCAGTGGGAGATGGGAGAAGAGCAAAGTCAGAGAGTAAAAGAAGAAGGAACAAAGAGAAAAAAGGGATGAGATGACATAGTAACAACATGGTGGTGGGGGGGAGTTTATCCTACAGCCTGTTGTAAAGTTTTTGTGTTTCTGGATTTTTTGTAAAGGCTAGATTAATTTGATTTTATGGCAAATTTGTATTGTCATATATTATATCTCTTTTACAAGTCTCTTTTCTGAAACGATGGTGTTATTGGATGGGATTTGTGGCGGCTGGCTGGTTAGCTCACTTGGGAGAGTGTGGTGCTGGTAACACCAAGGTAAAGGGTTCGGATCTCCTTACCAGCCAGCCACCAAAAGCAAAAAACAAAAATAGATGGTATTTGTGTTTTAAATAACCTTACTCGGAAAAGAAAAAGTTGCCACATCTGTATAAGAGCACTTTCTTCCCCCTTTTTTTAAATCCAAAAGTCTGATGCAGAGGGGAAAAAAAGCACAGACTCTGGAGCCCTCCCTCCCCAAACTGGACTAAGACACTCAGGAGCTGAGTTAAAAGTCATGTCCAAATACAGAATTTGTGTTGTATTCAGAAGTGCCTCTGCACTCTTATAACTAAGGATTTTTTTTTTTTTTTACTGTGCCGAATGTGCCTGCCTAACTCACTGCCCCTGAAGTGTCCCTCGTTCTTCATACAAATAGACTTCTGGCAAACCACAGACCCTCAACTGATCACTTAGTTTGAGTCTCAGCAGACTCAATTAAGACCAGAAAAGAAGTGGCCCTTCATTCCTCTCACCCCATCCGCAGTTGATACAAAACACCCAGGGACTCCTGAATTCAATAGACAACTGCATCCCCCCACATCGACTTCACAGCCAGACCTGCCAGCTTCCTACTAGGCCCTAAGAGGAACATCAGGTCTCTGTCCAGGACTCTGCCTGCAGCTGTTCTGTTTGCATATAAAAACAAATGAATAGTGTACAAGTTGCTCAAGGCTGATTAAAACAGTAAAGTTACCCAGAGTCTCAGGCAATTAACACTACTCTCAAACAAAGGAAAAAAACTAGCTTAATTTCCCCCCTTTCAAAACAATTGCTTTTTTTTCTTTTCTTTTTTTCCTTTTTGTCTTTTTTCGTGACCAGCAACGGGATCGCAACCCTCAGTATCGCGCCCGCACCGCGCTCAACCAGTGAGCCGACCGGTCTCTATATGGGATCCGAACCCTCGACGGGAGCGCCACCCTCTACCGAGTGCACCACCAGGCCAGCCCCAAAACAATTGCTTTTTAACAGCCTTGGATTTCTAAAGCTTTTACTTCTGGCAACTTTCTTTCTCTGAAATGTGCCTAATCAGGCACAGAAAGAAATCTTCCTGAATCAGCTTTCCTGCTTCCACACCCATTACCACAAGGGTCTGCCGCGAAGAACTGGATAAAGTACTCAGCCTGGCAAGTTTGCTGATTCCAGACCTGATGTGATTGATCCTGGGTTCCCATAGTAGTTGGATTACCAACATGAACAGGACAGAGTTGGCCAAAAGAAACACAATGATCATGAGAAATCCCATTCAGCTTCATGAGTTTTAGTACCTTTTGGATTGTTTGATCCTACAGTACCATGCCTTCAGTCATTTACTATGAAGCAATTCTCAATCATTGGTAGAAAAATTTATCTTACCAGAGAGCAGAGGAGCAAATATTCCCACGATGAACCAAAATTCTCCTTTTCCAAAACTACCTCCCTTCCTATTTACAGTATGTGTTGAAATTCCACCTTTAAAGATTTATTTATTGGTATTTATACCAGGGTGATTTTAAATTGCAGATGTATTTGAAAGGGGAAACAAATGAAACCAAGGGTTGACAAAGGTTTTCTAAAAAGGGCCATATAATAAGTATTTTAGGCTTTGTGGGTCTCTGTTGCACTTTCTTCGTTTTTTTCTTTCTTTTTTTACAACCCTTTAAAAATGTAAAAACCATTCATAGCTCGAGGGCTACCTGGCCACTAATCATAGTCTGCCAACACCTATATTAAACTACAAATGATCTACTCACATATAACTGAAACTTAGTTTGTTGACTACTGTGTTAAAGAAATCCAAAGAATAGGAATTTTAAGAGAAAGGACATAGAAGAGAAAAATATTAGTAATATTTGAAAACATATAACACTATCTGCCAGACACTATTGTAGTCACTTCACCTATATTAACTCATTTAGTTCAATGATGGAAGCAATATTATCTAATCTTCATTTTACAGTTGAGGAAACTGAGACTGAGACTGAATGAATTGCCCAAACTCACATAGGTAGTTAGTAAGGAGCTAGCATTGGAACCTAAGAAGTCAGGCTCCCGAGTCTATGATGGTAATCACAATGCTATGCTGACACTCAGGGAGAAATAATATTTTAATTCACTTTACAAAATACAAATAGAAAAAAGAGCAAAAAACTC